CCGTGGTTTTTCTCGATTTGGTATTTCCACGTAAATCTTTGTGTCTCTTTTGATTTACTTTTTGCTTGGTATTTTTCATTACATATGATTGATTATTGTTTGATACCTTAGTCCTATTCTACTTAGACTAATATTGTTCTCGTAATTCGGATTTCTGGGTTGTTTCATGCATTGGGGCTTTTTCGTTTTAGTGAATCTAACCCTCTTTGTTTACTACAATCCCATATAATGGAAGGCCCTACAATTATTAATTTTAACATCGATTTCACTAATTTTCTTAGACCAGCCACATTGCCAGCTGTCAACAATTTTTGCAATGTCATGTATTTCATTTTGTTAGATCATCCACATCAGTACAATATCAACTCATCTTTCAATGAAGCTAACTCATCTTTCAATTAAGGCACATCAGTTTTTCAATTATCTCTCACATCAATAATAACATTTTCAAAAGTGGTCCCTACTGACACCTCAATAATTCATTTATATTTTATTAATTATTTAAAAAACTTATATATATATATATATATATATATATATATATATATATATATATATATATATAAAAGAAAGATTGTCCAGCTTTCTTAAATATGGATAACTTTTACTTTAGTTATATAGAGTAGTTGTGTTCAAATATTTGAGGAAAAATAAAAAGAAAAAATTATGTAAATAGAATGTTATGATAGTTAGTGGTAGGGTCCATAATGCAAGGCTTTTAAAGAATGAAAGATCTATGTATATGTGACATATTTTTAAGTTGATTATGGACCGTACCACCAACTATCATAACTTATTTAACAGATTTGGAGGTGAAGAAAATGAAGATTAATATTGTAATATATGTTTTATGATTCATGCTTTTGTAACATTTTAAAATTTGAATATTTAATAAATAAAATTAAATTTAATATTTAATATTATTTTGTTATTTTATATATTAAAATAGTATTTTAATTATACATAATTAAATTTACATGTATTTATTATCGACTAATTATTAATGTTTAATATTTAAAATATATAAAGTAGTTGTTGATATAATAATGTAATCACTTTTGAAAGATGAGTAATATTGTAATGATTTAGAAGTAATTATAAAAAACTGATGTGACATTTGTAAAAGGTGAATGATATTACATTGATGTAAATGACCTTAGATTTTATTAATTTGAGTCATGTTGTGTCTAGCTTGTATCTTTTTCATCCTAGTCAACGCCATTTTTTCATCTTTGTATTTTATTTTTTTAGGAATACAATATGATTATGTTTTGGACTCGCGTATCCTCATTCCCAAGAGTTGACAAGCACATTGTTGAAATCTTCTAATTCCAAATTGTTTTTGTACATCTTAATTGGGCCAAAATTAATTTCAAATTCTTATATCACTAAATGATTATGGTTTAAATACTTTCACATGAAAAACAATATTTTTAAGTCGTCGTTCAAGTCGCAAGCAATAGAATGATCCATATAAGTCTATCTGCAATACCTTCAATGAAGGGGTTCAAGGTCTACCTGGCCACGGACGTGTCTATGCACACCAGCCCGGACCTTTGTAGTCGAGTGTGTTGTGTTGATTTGTGGTGGGGACAATAGAGGACCACGATTCTTCTTCTCTCTTAGGCCTCAACCTTCTTTCTTCAGCTTATGTCTGTCTGTCTATCTCTTTCTCTCTCTCTCTCTCTCTCTCTCATTCACCGTGGAGAGTACTCCATGGCTTTATGGTGGCTCGTGGTGGCTAATCTAGAAGCTATTTATGATCATTTTCATGGAGACTATTATTGATGACCTAAGGACCTAGTAAACACATTAGAACAACTCTCTTGTTTCTTTTGCATCCCATGAGCCCAATTGTATTTTCATCACACAAACAACTTAACTAATCCTTCTTTATTTTTTTTTTAATTCACTTACGTTTTGAATCATAAGAATTGGACTAAAAGGAGTGGTTGCGGTCCTACCACAATTTTACCACGTTGTCAAAAAGGAACATTAGCCCTAGTGTGTGGTTTGGTTGCACGCAGTAATATCTAGCTGCACTCTTCTCTCTCTCTCTCTCTCTCTCTCTCTCTTTCTCCCTCTCCCTTCTTGTTTTTTGGTACACCACACCTAGTCTATGGCAAACAACCACACTTTTTATGGTTAAGTTGACTTAGATCCTATGTGGCATCTACGTGGCATATAAGGAAGTGTGGTTTCTGTGGCACCACCCGCTCCAGTTTTATAGGCATATTTTTAACTCTTTCAATTGTTTTTAGCATATTCCAGGAAAAGCATCCTATGATTAAGCCACCAACCATATCAATATTTTCTATCAAAAATGATCGCTTTAGGACTTGACATGATTTGAGGTTATTAAATTTTATAAATATTGAGCAACATTTTCTAGAATTCTTCATCTTCATATCCCTATTATGGTCATCATAATTGTAATTGAATTTTCGATAAGACCATATATGATCCTTCATCTTTGAATGTTGTATTACATGTATGTTTTTCCTCTTCAATCACCTTTTTCCATACTACTTCCTTAATTCTTGTGATTTTAACTCTTTTCCCTATCAACCATATGAAACATTAGAAATCACCAAATTTCTTTAAATTTAATTTTAGTGTAAACTCTTCCTACTAAATGGCTTCTTTTATCCAATAGACAAGGTTATGTCACCAAAATGCTTCCCCATTCCTTCACAATAAGAATGAATGAGTATGGGTTCCAAATACTCATAAAGAGCTTTTTATTGGTGATTTAGTGTTACCAGACATTTTAGGTAATTGGAACTAACGTGTCAGCCATGAGCTTATTATTTGTACTCTATATTATATTTTCGATGAATGTGGAGTACATGCATATATAATATCGAATTATAAGTGGGTACGACAGAATGGTAGAGGTCAAGGGGTCGCGCCACCATGAAGGGTCCTGGGGCCAACACCCCTAGCGGGGTCCAAGCGGCAGATCCCTTAGTGGTGGTCCCGCTTGATTAAACTATTAAATTCATGATTTCGCTAACTAATTTAGAAGATTGAAACCCTAATCTATCAAAGCATAAACCCTTCTAATGAGTCGTGATCTGAACCCTTTTGATCTTTCTCTCTCTCTCTCTCTCTCTCTCTCTCTTTCTCTCTCTCTCTTAAACAATCTCATAATTATATGGTAATGGCTTACGTTTCTCTGCCCATATTCACGAGTGTCTTTTTGGATTATCCTAGACTGAATTTCTCATATTCCAGGCATAAGGTGGAAATATCAATTCGGAAAGTGATCTTATCCATAAGAATCATGTTCTCCACCATTAACATACTAATATTCCCCCAACCAATACTTTTAATGTCTACCCAAGCAATGTGATCCTCAATCATGACGTCTTTAGACCATGGAACTATCTTGGAGAACCAATATTTGGTTCCACCACATGTTATGAAAGCTTCTTTATTCAAAGATAGTGGTAAGGAAATCAACATCCACCAATATAAAACGTACTTAATAGACATGTAAATGAATACTTCTAAATTCTTTATATAGTGGATAGCCTTCACTACTCCCAGTTGTGTGGAATGAGGTCATGGATAACAAAGTTATGCACTTTTGAATTAAGATTGAGTGATGGACCAGAGAATGAACCAAAGCATTTTTCACTTCCTTTAACCTCCCATTCTCTATCATATTTATTAACTTCTCGCCATTCACACATTATGAAAGAACATCAACTAGTGTTTGTAGAACTAACAGTTGAGTTTCGTGGTAGCCCATCCTTTTTCTTCATGTTTCAGTTTCTGGATCTAACGAAACCCCAACATCCATGACCCGTTTAATCTTAAATGGATCGATCTAATCCTTATATTGAAAAAACGGTTTGGCATGCCCATAAAAATCACCTGTTCAAAGATATAATAGACGAAACTAAACTTCTTCCTGAATTTATTCACTTTCTTTGCTACGTACATGTCTACAAGCATCCACTAATTTTAGAACAACTTTCACGGGTCTCACACTTCCAACGCACATGGAAAGTTTGTGAAAAAATGTTGACGCATTAATACGCTTAAGGTCTTTGATTTTGTCATTTTGAACTTGTGGCTCCCACCCTCTCAAGCTAATTTCAGTTTACCTTGATCTTAAGTTTGCAATATTTGGTTTAATCTCGATCAAAGATAAAAGCAAGTACAATGTTTGTATTGTGAGTGCTTATGAAGTATTAATTCAAGTGAGACAATGAAATATCAAATTGTTGCGCTTACAAGTAATGCAATTCAGACTTAGGATGTATTTGACAAGAAGCGTTTGGGAGTTTCTAACACTTGACAAAATGTAATGTTTTGAACAAAAAGTCTTGTTTGACACTATAAGCTTTTAGCGTTTAGTTTAAACAAAACACTTAAAATCTAAAGGTTATCTCACGTAGCGGTTAACAAAACGTTATTAGATATCAGTTACCCTCTATCCGTTAACAGCTTGTTTTGTTGAACACGCCATTAAATGAAGATACGTTTGAGTTGACGTTGTATATAATTCTTTCATAAATAGTGACATCCATTGAATGATGATTTTAAGATGCTTGTATCGATTTCACTAGTTTGAGAAAATGTAATGGATAAACTATATATAATAAGAAAAAAAGTTGTACCAAATGATATTATTTGATTACTTGATACTTATCAAGGAGGTGTCGTATTGAGGAAACAAAAGCATGCATCATATCACAACTGGGACACTCCTAAGATTCTTTTTCAAATGTGTGACTAGGTGCCACAAAAGTTGACCTTATCATCAGATGGCTTATTCAAAGCGTCATATATATATACTTATTCTTCACGTTAGATAACAAAATTTCCTCTGGCTCTGGGCCTATGGCTGAATGATATATATTATTTGATTAGTTAATATAATTCATGCATCAACTGCTTGATTATATAAAAACAAAATGAGAGAGAGAGAGAGAGAGAGAGAGAGAGAGAGAGAGAGAGAGAGAGAGAGAGAGAGAGAGAGAGCATACTCCGAGGAACCAGTCGTTTACAAGAAACGCGTACAAAGTCCACACACCACCATTCAGAAAGAGGAAGAGGGAAAGAAGAAATGGCATATACTTAACACTTTTAGTTGTCACCACTAATCTCTGCATTATTAAACAATCACAAACTCATTGAATAAAGAGATTTGACTATATATATAATATTGTTATTAAAATAAATTAATGGAATATTACGATTGACGATAAAGTATAATTCGAAATCGACTACTTTTATTTCTATAAATATGTCGACATTGATAACTCTATCCACCCACAACAGCAAATTAAAAGAAAATTATCCATGTAATTAATTTAAAATTTATCATTTCCATTGTAACAACTTTTCACTAGGTATTATCTAGAACTAAGTAATAACCAAAAGTATACATTTTTGTTGTCTGTTTTTTAAATAACAACAGCTATATTTCTTTATTATTAGAACAGTAATAATATTTTAAATTCTGTTTTTTTTCAATATTTATTAAAAATGGAAAAAAAAAAATAATACTAAAAAGTCATCATGTATTTTTTTTATATTTTTGTTTAGGGTTGGATCGAGATCCACTTACCATAGCTGAGAGAGGAGAAGCGTACATGACAATATTAAGCCCAGCACCCAACAAACCTATCACATCAATCCTCATGTCTCCATCCATCAACAACTGCGTAACCAAAACAGCCACCGCAAACGCAACCACGTCCACAATCCCAGCTAGCTTCGCCGTTTTCGCCTGAACGATCATATTCCCATAATTAATATATACTCACATCAATCATTATAACACATATAATGAGTAATTACGTTACACACTTACCCTTGTTGCTGGAGATGCATAAATGAGGAACAAGGAAATATAAAGAATCTCTACAACAATGCCAAAACCATTAACAGTTGCGACCAGATAACTTCCTGGTTTCGTGATTCCATAATATGTCCATAAACTTGAATTCAGCAAAGTGCAAATGTAGGGAAGGCTCTGAAACTCTTCTGTTGATCCTTTCTGCACTATTCTCCAAAACGTCTTTCTGCATCAAACACATCACCATTTTCATTTGATGATTAAAAGGAATTAATGGGATGAGATATTCTAAGCCGGACAACACATTATATACTTACACTGGGGAGAGAAACATCAAAACAGAGATGATGTTGCCTGCAAAAAGAAACCATTGTACGTTAATTTGCTGGTATGTGTACATGTTGAATTATCAAAGATTAAAAAGAAATAATAATGTACCAATAATCCCCACATAGACATACAGGTTGTCCATATCTTTGAAGAAGAAGAAGAAGAAGAAGACACAAGAAATCGATCGAGCAGATTCGCAAGGAAGAAAGTTTGCTTATGGAGTTGCAATGGAAGACTAATCCCACCTGCCCTCTTGATTATTATGTATATTTTCCTTTTTTATATATTTCCTACATTTTGGACGGTTGATATGTTGTTGTACATATATATTTTATTAAAATCTGATGGAAATTTTCAGCCTTGTATATGGCTTCATATTTTCCCCTAATAAATAATGTTGCAAAGAGAACTGCACGGTGTTACTTGAGGCCACGATTCATTTACAAGAAACACGTAGTATAATAATAAGTAACTGTAGATTAAATATCATAAACATGTGTGTCCATGCGTCGCTGTCCGTCCGGTCCATTGAGCCAGCTTTCCTGGGCCAAGTTTGATGAAATTACTGGATTTTATTAAATGTTTTTGTAGTCTAATGGACCCATTGTCATATCATGCTAGATTGCAAGATTGTGCGTGAAAAATGTGTTTGTATGCAGTGGCCGATGCAGTGATTTGGGAGTGGGGCACACGCCCTCCATTGCAAAAAAAAAAAATTACACATAAATACCCTAATATTTTCACATTATTTTTTCTTTTAAAAAGTTACTTAAGACATTAAGTCATACAAAAGCGTTCGCTAAAAAAAACTCGAAAAATTAGACACATGAAAGTTATTTTCGACGAACATATGTACTTCCGACATTTAAGCATATATACATTTTTCATATGTGCACATTTTTTTGAGATTTTTTTATTGCGAATGCACTTCTATATGACCGATTTAATGTCTTAAGTCACTTTTTTATAAAAAAAAAGATTATAACGTCCAAAAGACAGTCAAAATATAGAAAGGCGTTTCAAAATAGCATAAGAGTAAAACACAATCATAAATGTGGAATCTCCAGTGGATGTGATGCAATCATGACGGACCCTTTCCTTTGGAACCAGGAGTACATGAAACATTTAAATATAAAATTGTAAGCACAAAGTTTAATGAGTTCCCTAAACTACCACATATTATGCATAACATATATAACGTGTGAATGTTGTTGTCTTCCCATAGTCTTACAAGCACTCGTTGTTGCAGTCCTCCTATAGTCTTTATTACTATAGTCCTCCCATAGTCTTCCGTACGTCTGCCATGATCCTTCATTGGTCTTCCATAGCCCTATCGAAAATACTAGATATCCGAATTATCCGCTCGATTTTTTCGGGTATCGGATAAATTTTTTCGGGTAATTCGTTAACCCGATTTTTTCAGGTCGGGTAAAGGGTATTTTTTTTGGGTTTCGAGTATACCTGAATTACCCGAATTATTTTAAAAATTCTTTTTTTTTTGTAGAGCTTGTACTATGTAGCAGGTATTTAATCACGCTCAAACTAACTATTATTATTGTAAAACATAAATCTCTTTTATTATGATAATATGACACTAACAATATTAAAAGTAATTGTTTATATATCATCATGTTGTAATGCCCCGATTCTCAGGTATTATTATTATGGCTTTAAGTTTCAAGTTTTAAGGTCTACTCGATGGTTGGATGCTCTGACCCGTCGAGTAACAACGGGATTGGGCCACATGTTTAAGTGACCAACTCGCCGAATCGGAAGAGTGACTCGACGAGTTGGAGCTGGAAGGTAAAACCCTAATTTTTGGGGTTTTGCATAATTTTTAAGGAATCATTAGCCTCTTCTTAATCCCTTACAACCTCCAGAGAGTCCAGCAAACCTTATTTCGTGTGTAAGCTTCATTTGAGTGTGTTTGAGCTTTGAAAGGTGGAATTTGTGAAAGAAGCTTGAAGGTCAAATAGCTAGCAGCAAGGAAACTCGTGTGGATCTACAAAGCCTGCCTCAATTAGCTTCATTTTGAGGTATCAATTTGTGATCTTGGCCTTATTTCCTTCTAGATCTCATATGGGTGAAGTTTAGGGGTTGTTTGTTTGGCAGGAATGGAATGGAATTCAAGGGAAAGGATTCCAATTCCCTTGAATTCCTGTGTTTGGTTCAGCTTTAAGGGAAGGAAAAGGAATCCTAAATGAAATATTTTTCCTTCAAATGAAGGAAAGTCCATTCCTTCACCATTCTAATGGAATTAATTCCATCGTAACATGGAAAGTAACAGATTACCATTTTGCCCTCACTAATTATCCTTCATCAGGTAAACCTAGATACATCGTGTCATTCTCGTTTTGCCGCAACCTCTCCATTACGTCTTCTCCACTTCTTCACAGGTGCTTCATCCCAGGTAATCTATTTCTCTCTCTCTCTCTCTCTCTCTCTCTCTCTCTCTCTCTCCTTAATCAAATTTTATACATTCAAACCACACAACGCCCTATGAAGTCGACCCCAAACAAAGCTACTGTGACATCGATGGAGGGTTTTTTTTCTTCATTTGCTATTGTGACCCCTCTGATATCATGATATCAGAATCTGAAAAAAAAATCCATTTCTTTCTCTTCAATAGTTTTATTAGTCGAACTTGGTTTATAGTGGATGTGATTTCGGGATGCTTTTTTTGTAAAGAATCGAGTGTTTTTTGGTTCAAAAATGATCTGAACCGTACATCCATACTTACCAATGAGATAGCGAGAAGTGATCGAATTCTCACTATGTTCTTGCTCTAGATTGTGATTGATTGGTTAATATGCATAATTTGATTATTTGATATACCAAAAAGTACGTTGATGTTTACCCTTACCAGAAGTATCCTTTTTTGTAAATCTTCCAAGTTTTTCATAACTTAAATACTGATTTATGGAGTTCTTGATCATACACACTTATTTTTCTAATGCATTGTATCAATTACGATTGCTAATAACATTTTTTTGGAATTAATAGAACAAAAATTTTGTTGTGGTTTCATTTTTTATGTGAAAATAATTGTTGTACATGATATCAGAATATACCATTTTGTTTTTTTGCTATCAATGGAATATGTATACCGTTTTTCTGTTTTACAGGAAAATGTCTCGACTTATTTGCTTAAAAAACCTGAACCTGTTCCCAATAACTCAACTGATCAAAGATGGAAGTGTTTTAAGAATTAGGACCTGTATTTAAAGGATTTTATAAGTTATGAAGCGATTTGCATGATTTTCGCATTATGTTGACACGAACATTCAATAATAAATTAAATTAAATTTTACTACTTTTATAATTTATATAATGTATCTTTAAATATAAGTTAAAAAAGAAAGTAAAATTAAGCAAAATACATAAAAAGGGTAATTTTGTCATTTTACATGGATTCCGATTCCAATTTCTACGAACCAAACAAAATCTGGAATTAATTCAAATTCCATTTCCTACCAACCAAACAGGATATGGAATTGGATTCAAATTCCAGACAGATTCCTTTTCCAATTCCAAATGCAATTCCTTCAGCAACATTCTGCGAACCAAATAGTCCTTTAGGGTTTTTGCCTTGAAATGGAGTTACTATTGTGTATGAGCTAGATCTGAAGTTGCAACTCCAGATGTAAACCCTCCTTGGGATCTAGGTTCATAAAGTTTCTAGCTTGGGCATGTATGAAACCTCCCTTTTGAGTTAAACTCCATTTCAAGTTTGGATTTGGCATTATGAACCATTAGAGCCTTGCATGCATGTAAAGTTTGCAACTTTACGTGATAAGCACGCCCTAGGAGCTTAGATCTGCAATACAGAGTCCTTGCATGTCTTAAAAGCACATGTATGGATGAAGGCCCGTGGAAACTCAGCGAGTTGCATGGTTGACTCGGCGAGTCCTATGAAGATGGCCTTGGGCTCAACGAGACGTATGAGAAACTCGGTGAGTCTGATGAAGATTATCATAAATTCGGCGAGTCAGGTGTATGACTTGGTGAGTCTGATGAAGATTGCCTTAAGCTCAGCGTAACAGGTGAGTGACGTGGCGATTTTTCTAGTTATACAAGGAAGTCGTCGAGTAGCCGAGGGTACTCGACGAGTTGAGGTTAACATGGATTGTTGACCTTGACAGTTACCTTTGACTTTGACCAAGGGTTGACCAGTTGACTTCTAAGGGTGTTTTGGTAAATTGGATAATTATAGCAAAGGTCATTGTTGAATATAGGTGTTAGAGTTGAAGCTACATTTGGAGGAGTTTGACATTACCTTCCAAACGATTGAAGTGGGTTTATGACTCGGGATTCATGAGTAGTAATAGTTTTTGTATCGTTATGATGTTCGTTGATGAGAGGAGCATCAATTAGGCCCTTAGAGTGGTGGAGGAAAGTGGATATCTGCAGGGTCAGAGTGTTGGGCAATTGAAGTGACCACAGTAGTGTCAATCGGTCATCGGGAGCATTCCAGTCATAAGCTGAGGGCCGGAGAGGGCATACCAGACTCATGCTTTGGGCTCAGAGGCAATCCAGGCCTATGCTGAGGACCACATAAGGGTATTCCAGTTATAGGCTGTAGGCATAGAGATTGTGTTGGTTATGTTTGTTGTAGGATCATGTACGGGTTGGATGTATTGTTGAAGATTCGGGGGAAATTGCACTCGGTTGTGGTGAATCTGAGGATGGTGGATGAGTCGCAAGGATAGATCTTTGGATCTCTAGGTTATGAGTAGACCCGAGTTATGGTCATGGAGGTTTTCCAACCTAGGGTATTCCATCCTAAGGATGACCGGACCTTATGATGGACTGGATTTGATATGTTTGGTATTCCAATCCGAGGGTTGATTAGGCCAAACATGTGATGGATACAAGGGTATTCCCTCCTAGGGATGATTGGAGTCGTTGTAGGCTCGCCTGGTATTCCAGCCCGAGACTGTTTGGACCAGGCATGAGTGTTCGTATTCATTAGTGGATTGATTATGCATGATATTTTGAGAGCTGAAGGACGCATCATCCTGTCAGGCGGAAAGGGACTAGATTTAGGAAAGGGACATAATGAGTTTCCAATATTGCAAGTTACTCGGGTTATCACTAGTTTTGGAAAAGGGAAGATAGATTAGTATTGTGAGAGATCCCAGT